CGTGGCTGGAAAGGTTAGGGGTTTTGTAGGGGAGGATGTGAGTAGTCAAATGGTGGTGACAAGGGTGATTTTGGGTGAAAGAATCACCGAAAAAAGAGCGAAAAATATCGGAAATGCAAACTGCTAATGTGCGCCGGAGGACTGTTATAGGCGGTGGTCTGCTAACGTGTGCCGCCCATGTAAAATGACCAATTTACCCCTTTATCATTACATCAAACGTTTTTTCATCATTTTAAGGGTGAGAATCTAGAATAAATGAAACATATAGTATTAACTTGGGATTTTGTCAAACCTTGGGTGAGAATATGTCGTTTACTCATTCAATTATAAGAAGTTATAAGAAGACATAGGCAGACCATTCCAAACCACTTATTTGTCTACTACTGTACTTAACAAATCCATGTGGCAAATTATGTGGATCAATGGTTTTGGTGTTGTTTTCTAATGTCTTTGCTGAACCATTTTGATAACCAAGTTGTTGTTAATTGTACTACAGAATTGTTGGCAGTAGCCGAACCATATTGTTTCATTGTATGAGGAAATATGTAACTCTATTTAGATTTTACTATAGCATTACAAGAGTCCTGATGTCGAACCATTATTCACTGTCTTGTAGAATTGTAGCAAGCAACCGAACCATCTGTTTAATTGTATGAGGAACAATGCAAATCTATTTAGATTGTACTATAGAATTACAAGAGATTAACAATCGTAATTTTGTAATGTCCTTTTTAGTGAATATAATACCGTTTCAAAGTTCAAACTAAAAAATCGTAATAGTAATGGTATACGATTTGATGTATTACCTAGTACTTACAATTCATTTCATCAACTGAAACGTTTTATTATATTTTATGTTTCATTCTTTTTGCTGAGTTTAATTTGATTCACTATTTTTGTGTGAAATTTAATTTGAAGGATATGAAAGGTTAGAGATATTTATTTGAATATGAATGGATTATTTACTTTGGATACGTGCGTAGTTGTCATTTACATTCTACTCTAGGTCCTGTTCAATCGCTTTGAAAGGTTGTTGTATAATTTCTGTTTGAAAAATCACAGCTTTCTAACATAAATTTGAATCTATAATTGTAATTAGTTAATGTCGAACAATGATAAAATTGTTAACTAAAAGAAACTAAAAATTAAATATGGATAAATAGATAGACATAACCATATTTATTATTATATTAATTACGAAACAGTTGCAATAAGTATGAATATACTCATTCCACTGTAACTGGTGTTATTGGAAAGAATAATACTTTGCGTACTAACGGATTTTACTAACCAATGTACTAACCTTTGTTAAAATTACATATAGTATCCGTACTATGTATATAGTACCCGTACTATGTTTTAAGTTAGTACACTGATTAGTAAAATCCGTTAGTATGCATAGCATTACCCTATTGGAAAACACGTGACACGTCCCACCAATACAACACAATGGCCGAACAATTAAAGTCTCCACAACCATTACAACTACAAACACATCAACAACCGTTGGTCTAACATTACACGTTAAAAAACCCTTTTTGAACAATAATTAATTGCAACAACCAACAGGTCGAACCATACTATCAGGGTAAAAAACTATGAACTTTGTAATGCAATAAATTTACTACATATTTAGTATGATATTGCAAATAAAAAAATAAAAAAAAATTAGATTTCATACTATTATAATGTCTTCAAAAAACTAACCTTTAAGTTACTATTGAGTGTTTGAAAAACATGATAAATAGATAGACATAAATATAATAATTATGATATTAATTACGAAATTTATATTATTGAGAACCTAAAAGTTTTTTAAACATGGTTAACACAGTAGTACCCACTTAACTACAAACTCTTCATATTCAATTCTACTTAAAAGCACACCGATTATAGTATATAGTTTTGGTGTTTATTTTAACTTTTATATTAAATAAATAGCTATTCCACAATATCCGAAGAGTTATTTTAAAAATAATACTATATTTACACTACTCTTTTACACAATTTTCATTACATTATAATGTGGTATATACCACAACCACACAAATTCTATTATAATATTAAAGATATTTACCACAACCACACAAATTCTATTATAATTTTAAAAATTTAAAATTTATGTAATTGTGACATATACCACATCATGATGTAATAAATATGGTGTAAAAGAGTGGTGTAAATGTAATATTACTCTTATTTTAAACATCATGAATAAATGTGTGCTTTAATGAACAGTTGTTTGTTCATATTTTGTCTGTTTATATTCTCTAGTCATGGAAAGTCAATATTTATATCTGTATAAGGATAACCAAATAGAATTTATATTCCATTCAACAAGTCGTACACGTTCAAAAAAATTCCTCATTTCATTCACATATTCATTAGCCAATGACAAACAAGAAACCAACTATCAACAATAAAATGTATAAATTCAATATCCAATTAAATTCAATACAAACAATATACATTTAACACCACAAGGAAAATAATAATAATGTAAAAAAAAAATTGTATAAACATAGCCGAGCAAAGCATGGGCTTTAAGACTAGTTTCTTGAACAATTTTGCTCAACATTTAATGTAAAAACAGTAGAAAACATTTTATTTATTTATTTTATGACTAAAGCATTTACCCATCCAAGATTAGCCAATCTCCAAGTTCCCACCCATGTTTTCATTAATTCCAAATCCTACCCTTAAATTAACACCGTTAATGATTTTGGGTTCTGACACAGTATAGAAAGTGCTATTACCAAACTACACTTGAACCTTTTACTTTTGATTCAAAATAACCCCCACATCTCAAATTTCTCTCCATCATCTCCCCATCTCCACCTCCACCTCCACCTCTACCACCGTTGGCCAGGAGATCCCGGCCAAGCCAAAAATCAGGCTTGATTCTAGCATCGTTAAACCTCCCCAATACCACCATCAACATTCTCTTATCCTCCTCACCAAAACCCTTAACTTTTCCATCTAAGTGCACTCGCTAATCATTGGTTGTCGCTCCTTGCTGATCTACTCGACTTTTCAGTTTTCAAGTTGGATTCTGGTCGATTTCGGTGCCAAAAATAACCCATGACATCACCATCAGCATCCCCATCTCCTCCTTATCAAAACTCGTACCTCCCTCGATTGTTCCTACTCGTTGTTTATCGTTTGTCACTTGCAGTTGTTGTCGCCTGACTGTCACGTTTTTCGACTCGGCTAATGAGGGCATTATGGTAATTGACTAAGGGACATAGATGAAATTTTAAAGAAAGTGCAAGGGTAAAATGGGAAAGTATGCATATTAATATGAGATATTAAGAGTTCAAGCAAAAAGACCCTATCATTCTCTACTCCCTCTCACACTACTTCACTCTCAATTTCTCTCATCTCTTCATCAAATTTCCAAGGGATTTTAGAGGACTTTTGGTTGGATTTTGGTAGAGATTTGATCCTAAGCACCCAAAGGTAAGAATTCTTGCAATGGATGTGAGATTAATTTTTAAAATGTTGAATTCTTATAGTGTTTATGCTTAGGGTTTTAGAGAAAGAACAAGTCTACCAAAGAAAGAGAGATTCTAGTGGAATTACTCAAGCACAAGGTAAGTAAATCCTACCCTAAGTATGATTTAAGTTATGTTGTGTAGAGGACTTTCTTTATGCATATATATGTGTTATATGTAAAATTGTTAATGGATTTGGTGTTGAATAATGATTAGAACCTATCCATGAGAAGTTGTGTTGGTGTAGCTATTATTTGATGAATGTTTGGATGAGATTTGGAAGAATTGAAGTGAAAATTTTGAAGTGTGTATTTTGGGTAGATTTGGTGTTAATTATGGAGGAGTTTATTCCAAATTTTCAGTGGCCTAAAATAGAGATAAAAGGGTAGCCAAATTAGTGTTGATTTGTGTACATGAATTGTTTGATGAAATGTCAAAGAGAAGTGCATGTATGAGAATGATTATGTGTTACTTTGGGATGAGTTTGTAGAAGGTAGAGAATGACATGTTTGCTTTCCATAATGCATAATTGCATTTAAATATGTGAATTTAGAAAGAATTATAAGCATAAAACCATCAACATGCATACATATTCATAAGAGCATGAAAAAGCCCTAAAACATGTTAAAGAGAAAACAGAAAGAAGTGAGAATATTAAAGATATTCACATCTGAATTTTTCTTAAAGAAGTGTTAAAAAAAAGATAAAAAGAAGAGAAGGATGTTGCGATGGGGAGCCATGAGTGACATAGTCCCACATGCACGCCACCTTTAGTGAGCAGGCTCAGAATTCAGAAAGAAGAATTGTACAGTCCGTTAGAAGTGTGTGTGGATGAGGACTGTACCCAGAATTAGAGAATTCACTCACACAGCCAAGGCTCCAAATGTAACGTCCCACATGAGGTACGTTGTTATTTTTTCCTCTTTCGCTCTTATTTGAGTTGGTTTTTGGTAATATTGTTTGATTGAATGTTATGTTGAATGTTTGCCCTGAAATTGGTTGAAAATAGAAGAAGTTTAGTGTACCAAGCTTCGCCGGGGCGAAGGATAATCTTCGCCGCGGCGAAGATGTGTTGAAACCTCGGGGAAACTCTCTGGACAGTTTCGCCGCGGCGACAGAAGTTTCTTCGCCGCGGCGACAGACCGTTTAAAATGTTTGTTGAGTTTTAGATATTTTATTCCCTAAGAGCAATTTGACCATTCTACCCCTAATTAGCAGGAAAAGTGGGGAGTTAATTGTAAAGATTTTTCATAGAGAATATGTTGATATGGGGGTGAGTTTGTAATGAATCAAAGGATATAGATGGAATTCCCAAAGAAGAGTAAGGGCAAAATGGGAATGATTGTGTATAAATCTCATTAAAAGGAATTAAGAGTTAGCAAACCCCTCATTCTTCTTCTCAAAAACGCAACTCTCCATNCATTAATTCCAAATCTTACCCTTAAATTAACACCGTTAATGATTTTGGGTTCTGACACAGTATAGAAAGTGCTATTACCAAACTACCCTTGAACCTTTTACTTTTGATTCAAAATAACCCCCACATGTCAAATTTCTCTCCATCATCTCCCTGTCTCCGTCTCCACCTCCACCTCTACCACCGTTGGCCAGGAGATCCTGGCCAAGCCAAAAATCAGGCCTGATTCCAGCATCGTTAAACCTCCCCAACACCACCATCAACATCCCCTTATCCTCCTCACCAAAACCCCTAACTTTTCCACCAGAGTGTGCTCGTTAATCACTGATTGTCACTCCTTGCTGATCTACGCGACTTTTCAGTTTTCAAGTTGGATTCTGGTCGATTTCGGTGCCAAAAATCACCCATAACACCACCATCAACATCCCCATCTCCTCCTCATCAAAACCCCTACCTCCCCTGATTGTTCCTGCTCGTCGTTTATCGTCCGTCACCTGCAGTTGTTGTCACCTGACTGTTACGTTTTTCGACTCGGCTGCACCGCATAATGCCAATTTTCTACATATTGTTACCTATTGTTGTTTGTTTGTTTGTGTATTACTGTTGTGTTGTTTTTTTTAAGTGGTAATGGTGTTTGGTTGAATGAGGAGTGATTAGGGGGTGTGGATGCAAAAGGGACATCTGGTTTGGAGATCTGTGGTGGTGGTGGTTTGGAATGGGGGCTCTCTTGGAGTTTTTTCATTTCAAACTCAATGCAGTGGCAATAACCATTTTACCCTTTAACAATTACATTAATCAATTTTTTGTTAATTCAAGGGTGGGAATATGAAATTTACTCATTTTTTATATAAATGACCATGACATAAAATAATGAATGTAATGATGCAATATAAAATTTCAATACAATAAATCGTAAATAAAAGCATAATAAAAAAAAGAGGTTAGGCTATTGTTAGATACAAATTCTTAGAGCATGTGTGGATTTAAAAAATCTTATTCCGAAAAAGTGTTTTAAGTTGAGTTGAGTTGCATTAAATCGAATAGGATCAGATTCTGAAAATGTGTTTAATAAAATATCTTAAATTTATATCAGAGTTGAATAAAATATTGGAATGGTTGTTTGATATATTTTTTGAAAATATTTATTATTATTTTTTAATCTCTTACATTTGTTAATTTAGCTAAACACTCCCACAATAAAAGTTTAAAAAAAATTAATAAAAGCACCCTAGACACCCAAGAGGATAGCCGACCGCCAGCCACCATCGCTGGACAGCAGTCGACAGTCACCGAAACAGCTCACGACTGGTTATATTTGGCCGGTAGTGCATCGTATGGCTGTTTTCGGCCAAATCGCCAAAGATTTGGTCATCATTAGCAAGAAAAATTCGGCCATCATTAATGGCCAAATCTCAGCCAAAATTTGGCCGTCAATGGCTAGGCCGTAGATCTAGCGATTTCTGACTAGATCGAAGCATGACCTTCCAGATCTGATCGATCGTATATCGTTTCGGCCATGTTGGCTGGCGTTGGCGGTGGGGGTCTTGCGTTGATTAATTTTCATTTTAGAAGGAGAGAAAAATGAGAAGGAGAGAGAAAAAAATGTTGAATAGAGTTTGATTAAAAAATGTTTTGAGTTGAATAATCTAAAGCCAAGTCTCCCCTCTTTTCTTCTTATAGACAAAAAAATGTTATTTGATTTGGTTTAATTTTTAGAATAATGATCCCAATAAGTAAAAAAACACATATCCTATTTTTAATTCAAATAGAATAACAGAATAAGGATCCAGAATAGTGTAACAAACAGGGGCTTAATTTTTTGAATCAATATATTTTAGTGAGTTTGTATCGTTATGTAACAATAATGTCACAATAATTTAATTTATAAAAATATTATAAATAGGTTATGATGTAATTGCTATTTGCTATTACATTCTAAGGCCAACTTTGTCTTTTGAAAACTATCTGATTTGGTTAAAGAGGAAATTTGAGGCCATGACTCACGAGGATAATCCACTAATATTATTCTTCTTTTTATGGTTTTTAAATGTGCTTGAAAATCTTGTATATAAAAGTGGAACAAATGAGTCAGGTTAGGCGGGTCAACCCTAACCCGACTCGTGTTAAGAAGGGTTCAACAAGGTGGGTCAGGTTGAACCCGACCCGCATGCACCCTGCCGGGCAGGTCGGGTTTTTATATAGCAACCTGGCGGGTTGCTTTTTTTTTTTTTTTTTTGCAAAGAAACCCACCAAGCCGGGGGGTTGGCAGTTGCTAACCAATGGTTGACCCGCTGGGTTGGCCAAAAAAATTTAACGATTTTTTTCATTTTGCAAATATCCATTTTACCCTTGAAATATAGCCGTTTTATAGCATTTGGAGGGGTCTTTTTCGTCATTTTTTTTCTATAAATAGGCCCTTAACTCTCATATTATCTCACATCCCAATTCTCTCATTCTTTCATTTTCTCTAATCTCAATTGAAATCTCTCCATTATTCTCTTTGTTGTCAATTTGCTCTCATTTTAATTTTTATTAGTTTTTGCAATTTTCAATCCATATTTCCAAATTCCAATTTTCCTTCTTTAATTTTTTATTTCTTCTATATCAATTTTTTTTTAACTACAATGGATAGATATTTCCATCCCATCAATTTCGATGATGAAGAAAACTACTATCCTAGTCCCCCTGAATTTACTAACATAAATGCAGTAGATTAAAATAGTCTTGCTTTCCTAGTCTCATAATCCGATACATCTCATAATATGCCCCCGATTCCTCCCCATGCTGCTACAGCTCTCGGTGGTTCTAGAAGTCGTCCTCGTCCAACTTCATCTCAAGCAGAAGCGGCTTCATCAACTGCTGTCGAAACCGACGACAAGCACACATCAGACGTTTGGGTATATTTCGATAAGTTTTACGAGACATAAAATGGAGTTCAAGTGAAGAAAGCAAGATGCACGTATTGTGAAAATATTTATAAAGCTGATTCAGGTAATAGTACTAGTACTTTAAAAAGGCATGTTAATAAATATATTACTCAACATGGAAATAGAGAAACCAATCAAACTCAAATAAATAATATGGGTACTACTTGGCGTTCTAATTCTGATGTATATAGAGAACAATTAACTTTATATATTGCTGCAACTGATCAACCTATTAATATGGCTGAAGATAAATATTTTTAAATATTTATTAAAAATTCATTTTTTCCAGGATTTAAAAGTTATTCTAAAACTGTAACTATAAATGATTTAATAAAATTGTTTGGGAAAATAAAATACATAGTTGTCATGTTAGTGTGGCTCTAACCGCCGGTATTTGGAGTGGTAGAGCTAAACAAGATTATATTTGTGTGACTGGTCATTATTTTGATAACGAATGTAAATTAAATAAATCTTTATTAGGATTTAGATTAATAGATGTAGATCATAGTGGTCAACAAATTTATAATAAAATTGTTGAAGTTTTAGAAGATTATGATGTTATTAATAAAGTGATAAGTTTAACTTTAGATAGTGCAAGTGCTAATAGTACATCTATAGATTTTTTTTAAAATTAATTATCCTTTTAATGACAATTTAGGCTCTGTTTGGTTCATTATTCTGATAGTTTTTAGAATAATATTTTGAAAAAGATTAAATTGGGCATGTATTACGATGTAGGATTTAAAAATTAACAAAAATACCCCCTATGTTTATTTATTTACTAAACACCCCTATAATAAAATATTAAAGGTTAACAAAAACACCCCCAACCCATCCATTAAATACGGACAGCTGGCCACCACCGCCAGAGGGTGGCCGGGGTGTTTTTGTAATTTCTAAAAAAAATATTTGGGGGTGTTTAGTTAAATTAATAAATTTAAAGGGTTTAAAAGAAATTAAAAAATATAGAATAATATTTTGAGAATAATGACATTTTACTATTTAACTTTATTGGGAATACTAATAATAGTATTCCCAATAGCGTAACAAACGAAGCATAAAGTTTTTTCACCAATGATGTGCATGTCACATTATTAATTTAATTGTGAAAAGTGGTATGAAAACAATTAAAGATAATACTAATAGAATTAGAGATTCTTTAGCTTTGATTACTAGTAGTAATAAAAGAAATATTCAATTTCAAGATGCTTGTATAAAATCAAATATGTCTTCTAAAACTTTTGCATTAGACATGTCTGTTAGATGGAATAATACTTATTTAATGTTTGATTTATGTTTACCTTATACAAATTTAATTAGTTATTTTGTAGCAAATAATAGAAATCCTCATTATTTGGTAGAAAATGATTGGCATATAGCTAAAAAATTTCATTATTTTCATAAAATTTTTTACCAATTCACTTTACAACTTTCTGATGTGTATTATCCTACTAGTCCATTGGTAATACATATAATTATAAAAATTTCAGATTTATTTAGAAAAAACATAAACAATGAAATTTTAGGGGGACCAATAAAGGCAATGAAATTTTTTTTTTTTAAAAATATTGGAAACCATTCATTTTTTTTATTGTTTAGATGCTATATTTGATCCTAGAATTAAAGTAGTAAGTTTAGAAAATGGTTTAGACACATTAACTGAAAATTTACAAAACGAAGCATATGTCAATCAACTAGGAGAGGCAAGGGAGTGTCTTGTAGAGGTATATTTGCAATATGAAAACAGGTATGGGAGCCAGCAAAGAGTCGAAATACCCAGCCCAGGGAAGTTGCATAAGAAGAAACAAATAAAGACTTCGACTCCTAGAGTGCACTTAATAGATCGAAGAGGACACGAACCCGAAGCACAACCTCCTCTTCAGAAGCACCAACAGCGAATGTGTTGTCCTCCATGCAGTCACAGAGTAATGAGCTTCAACAATATTTAGGAATCCCCGAAGTGTTACCAGTAGATCCACAACAAAGAGTCAATTTTGATGTCTTAGAATATTGGAAAACCAGAAAATGTATTTTTCCGGTATTATCAAGACTTGCCTTGGATGTTTTCGCTGTTCCTGTCTCAATCGTCTCATCCGAACAAACATTTAGTGCAAGTGGAAAAATTTTAAATGAAAGGAGGACTAAACTTTCACAAAAAATAATTGAAGTCCTCACATGTCTTCGAGATTGGGAATGGTCACGCCATCAAAATCAAAACGAGGTTGTCGATGATACTTTAATAGAATCATTTCAATTTTGTAATATAGATGATACAGATGAGGGAGGTCATAGTCAACCCCCAAATTAGTTATTTTGTAAATTGTAACTTGTAAATTAATTGTCAATTATTGCACTCTTTTTTTCTTACCAAGTTTTTGTCCCATTGGGTTTTTCTTAGTAAAGTTTTTAATGAGACAATAATTATTGTAATTACTTATTTTATTTTTTAATAAATGAAAAAAATCTAATTTTTCTTATATTACAATTTTATTGTATTAAAATTGAATTAATATTTGAAATGTTAACAAAAAAAATTAATTTAACTGAATTATATATATAAAGTTAACTAAAAACAATTACACAAAAGAAAAAAAAAGTTTTTAAAAAAGTGTGGGCTAACCCGACCCGCATAATAACCCGACGGGTTAGGGTTGGCGGGCTGGGCTGGGCCAGCCTTTCTAGCTAAGAGGCGGGCTGGGTTAGGCTCAACTCGCCAACCCCCATAACCCGCCGGGTCATTTTTCGACCATTACTTGTATAGTAATATTTGATTTTTTAATAGAAATTACGTATATTTTTTCTTTGCAAAAAAAAAAAAAAAAAAATTGATTAATTTTTTAATTATTTTTCAAAAGAATTTTTGAAAATTAAGTACAGGCATACGTATCCGAGGTGGCGAACGAGGATTGGCTAAATTTCGCAGGAAGGCGTGGCGGGTACCTTCTCCTTAGAGAATCAGAATCCCCCACCTCCTGTAATTCCGATTAAAAGATTTTATGTTCCCAATACAAAACTAACATGAAGACTCCATTCTGCTCTAAACAGGCTGTCGTTTTACTCTTTCTCTTCATTTCGCTCTTTGCTTATACTCTACAACTAAATCAGGTTTCTTATGTCATCTCTTGTATTCTTCGGTTCTTCTTTTAGCCAAACTGATTTCGCCGGATTTGCTTCCGTCTTTAATTGATTGTTTTCGCACATCTTGAACTAGATCAGTTTTCAACTTACTTATTTTTTTTGCTCCTTTACTTTTTCTAGGGGTTTTTGAGCTGTTGTGATGATTTTGGGGTTTTTCTTTGTTTATTAAGTCCGTGTTTGATGAAATGACTTCATTTTTATTGTTCAAAACTTTGGTAATTCAATTATATGTGCTGTTTTCTACAGGATTTTGAAGAACGTGCAGCTGCTAGGTAATGTATAGTCTTTTCTATTGAATTGTAAATCTGAATTCGTAAATTTTACATTCTTATTTTCGTTAAAAATAATGGTCAGAACTTTGAAGCAAGTGGAGGAGGATGTTCATGAAATACATTGTTCAAGAGAAAGGAGTAGGGCAGCATGGAAAATTATTGAGGAGGTTAGCACAATGTGTACAATTTTCATAGATTAGCATATCAATTTCTTGGTTTTTGTGTTCATACCAAATAACATGATTGCTACTTGATTTTTGGTCCAGTATTTGATGCCCTTTGTGGAGAAAGAACGCTATCAGATTTCGACTAGGTGTAGGCTTCACCCTGATAATGATTTGTTTAGAGATCAGGAACAGCATAAATTCCATGTGGATATAAATGAATGGAAATGTGGATTCTGTAAGAAAAGGTTTTATGAAGAGAAATATATTGATCAGCATTTTGACAACAGGCACTATAATTTGCTGAATGTGGTATGTAGCCTCCGTCTGCTTTGAGTTTCATTTCATGTTGTTTAGCATTAGTCTTAATGTAGTTTTCAAGATAAATATAATTTATGAAATAGGGATTTTTTAATTAGTATTCACTACATTCTCTTGCATTGCATTTGGGACTCAGTCTGTGAAACTTTGGCTGTTCATTTTAATAATTATGAAGAAGCTCTTAGGTTCATCAATCCCAAATGTTGAGATGGGAATCTGGTGAAATTGTTAATAGGTCCTAAATTTTCTCATGTTCAAGGAAAAACTGAAGTACCTGAAACCTATGTACATATCTTGTTCAAAATATGGGTACTTGTTTTCAAATAAGTAGGTAACACAGTAACAAATAGGAGAAACATCCTTAGAAAATTTTTAGCCAAACTGGATTCTTTTAACTTGAGTATTTTTGAACTGTGATTGTGCTGAATCCAGAGTCAAAGCAAGTGCTTGGCTGATGTATGTGGCGCATTGCATTGTGATCTAATAATGGATTCCGCACCACGGAAGACTAAGTGCAATCCTGCAGCTGCTGCTAGGAATCAACATCAGTGTGAGGTGGTCTCTGAGCAATCTTCTATTCGATCCCAATTTTTTTTCTTTTTTTTTTTTTTTTTTTTTTTTATCATTCATTTGATAATTATTTGCAGAGTCTGGCCAATAGTTGTTTTCCTGTCAATGAGGGTCCTTCAGCAAGCCGTCTTCATTTTTTTTTTTTTTTTTTCTATCATTCATTTGATAATTATTTGCAGAGTCTGGCCAATAGTTGTTTTCCTGTCAATGAGGGTCCTTCAGCAAGCCGTCTTCATGGTAAAACTTTTATTTTATTATTAAGAAATTTGTAATTTTCTTTAATCAACTCATAATAATTGCTTTCTATTTTTATTGAACTGCCAGAGTTCTTTTTGCGCCAATTTTGTGATGCCCACACATGCACTGGGAATCTGAAACCCTTCTCAAAAGGGCGCAGGGTAAAGTTCATTATCACCTTTGTCTAAATTTTGTGTGCTCAATCATTTTTGAGTGGCTACATATTAAAAAAGGTTTGTTGTAAGTGATGAGCAGTGTTCCTGTGTTCTAGGGAAAAGGGAACAAATCATGCAGAAATACGAAAATCTGTTCTCATGCTAACTTTTTTTGTTCGTAGAAAAATTAAATGCCAGAAACTTTCCGCTAATAAATTATGTCTATCATTTTATGATGGTTGGTGTAAATTATAGCAATTTTATCTCTGAATTGGAAGATCTTAATAGGGTTACACGGTACAGCCAGCAATGTGGTTCATGCATGCATATCTATGAAATTAAGAAGCTAACATAACTTGACATTGTATAATCTTGAAGCTTGCATGTTTTATTTCCATATTGATTTTTTATAGGAGAATGTTGTTGGTTATATTCTTTTTACCATGTCTCAATTTTTCATATTTTCAGAAGCAGACAAGTATAACCTATGTCACTCTTTCCATTTTGGCTTTGATGGTGCTGCCACTTTTCTACATTTTTGTTTACTTGTACCAAAGGTAACTACTTTCTATTATCTTCATTGCCACATCGCATGCAGCTTTTTTATGGCCTCGTGGTTGTCTTGTTTATGTTAAAGGGGAATAAGAAGGGGCACCCAAGCGCTGAAACGCATCTCAGAAAGTAAACAGAAGAAGAAGTCTTTTTAGTTTGGAGAAGAGCAAGACAGTCAACTAAAAGAATTAACGATTGACTTGACAAAGATTCATTTTGAGTACCGACTCATGTACTGCATTTGGCACTGAAATATATGCCACTCAAGATTTTTTTGAATAGGCAAGTTTACTAGGTTGCAGACGAACCTCCTCACTGTTATTGCAAGAATCACTGGCCTCATGGCTACGATGGTTTGGAAGATGAACTGATTCACTTATTGTGAATAGGAATGTGTTGTACATCAAATTTATGTTAATGAAGTACACAGCCTGAAAGTTGAACAGTATTGTTTTACAAGCATACTTCTATTGTACATTAATGTCTGTAACTTTACTGGTGGTGCTGGCTTTTGGAATGGTTATACTTATATACAACACTTCATTTTTTCACCTCTGCCTTAATTTTCTCGAACACTATGTTCTCTGGCAATGCAATCCTACTGCTGTAGCTTCCATAGCTATTGGTCGGCCAAACTTCATCCTCAGTTATATTTTCACCACTTTAACTTGATTCCTCTGTTTCTTGGAAGCTTTTCTGCCTTAACTACAAGCATGCTATCTTCAACCCAGACCTTGAAACCATTCTTCGTCATGCCAGGCATATCGAACCTGACCCTATACTCATTTTCCCTTCCTTTATCGCCCAAGGTGTCCTTCCCGTACCATATCCACTATATCTGTCTCTAATCGTTTCTGGAAACAAAGGCAAATTGTTGCCGCCAGTACAGGGGTCCTCCGTCATTCTCTCCATGGTATCAATCATCTGCCGCATTGTTGTAGCAGATGGAAACCCATCATGCATCTCTGTCAAAAAGAAACTCCAGTGAGTCGGCCTATACAGTCTTTCTTAATAATAGTGAGGGTTGAGGTTGATAACTCGGACAGGTTGCAGGTTTGTTTAACGTCCTGTTTTGATTTTTCTTGTTTTTGGGAGCAAGAATGAGATTAATTTTATGCTTCCAAAAGTTATAACATTTCTTCTGAAAGGTGAAGCAAAGGGTGTCTTAGTTTTCAGTCACCTGGAGATGAAACTTGAGCTGCTTTTTCCTTTGGCTGTTGTTAATGCTGGGTCACCCTTCGCAGGTGGTCAAGGTTGTCTCTTTTCTCTGTGACGGCCTTTATACGGTTACAAACTATAGCAGTTTTCCGCAATGGTGGAAACTTATAGCTCGAAAAACTAGTGATTCTCTCAGTTCCTCTGGGAGTAAAAGATATTAGCATGAAGTGCCATTCTCGTACGAAAAGTTACAGATATAGATAAACGTCACCAATAAAGTGAAGCAAGTTTTACGTCCAAGTAGAAATTTATAAGGCTCCAATGACAGCTTCTAGACTAGGAAATGCTCTGGAACTCGTGATTGCCCTTCCATTTTTCTAAACTTCTCTGCAAGCTGTTAACTTTATCCACTCTGCTTCCATAGAAAGAAAATATGGGCAGGTTTGGCTTTCTTTGGCACCATATTAAACTAGTTTCAGCTATTTACCAGGCAAAGCTTAGAGTAACCAATCACAAAATCGAAATTATCATAGAAATGCTTCAGAGAAGTGGTATGATTAACTTCAAGCATGTGGCATTTGCGAACCTGAAGGGATTATCAGGTTAAGCTGAAAATAATAAGACTGGGACAGGAGTTGATGTTCGATTTGATGTAATCCATTATCTAGACCTCCCAGGACCACAAATAGTACATTCTCGAGACATTCAGTTTGCATATGGACCCTGGAGGCTGGAGATCCTTGATGGAGACACATTTTTGTAAGTGCTTTTTAGGGACATTTTATCCCAGGAATGCTGTCTGCAAGAGCTTGGGATGAGTGAACAATAAGCCATGTCTGCCCGCCTATTTTATTCCATTTAGAGATTAAATTCAATGGAATAAATTTTTGAAAAAGAAAAAGGTGCTTTGATTACAAAATGCAATGCCAAATTGTGAACAATGAAAAAGAATCAATAATTGAAAACATCTTCCAGTACCAAAAATAAAGTTGATGATTAAACAACCCTTGGCACAACATTGAGCACTGCACTTTAAACAAAATAAAAAAGACCCCACCTTTCATAAGTGAAGATGACACTGCTCAAGTTCCTGCCCGGGCTGTCTTGCTCGTTAAGCATGATATATTCCTTCGGATATTTCACAAGGCAGGGAAACAACGAAGGGTTGATTGGATGTTACATTGTTTATCAAACATCAAATACACATATTTGACTGCAGAATGCAGATTGCACTTGCACCATTGCAGTGTCAATTCTATAGAACTCTTGACGAGGTTGAAAATTCCAGCTGGATGTTGTCATAAGCTTCTTTTTTTTTCTTTTTTTGGATTTCATTCAGGGATTCTTGTAACTGAAACAGAACAATCAACACAAACCTATAATTAAAAATTCAGTTATGCCATTTCCCAGTTTATTGTTCCTCCAACACTCTGGGAAATAATAAAGTCAATTTCAGAAATGGGAAATGAAAAAAAAAAAAAAAACAACTGGTTTACAAATACACAGCAGCTACACAACATTCTAGATTGTGAACAGCAGAAAAATGTGTGATATATTAAAATTTGCACTCTTCAGCTCCAAAGAGAGAACGGAATCGCTTTGCACTCATCATCTGACCCCAATCGAAGTAGAACCAGCTAAATCAGACTAGATATTTCATCATTTTCGTTTTTGTGGATCTCGACTGAGTCCATGCTTCTTTAGTGTTTTGAGATAATTTCTCATGAGGCTAAACTTGTTGCTCCCAAGATGATAGAAGTAATCCCAAGGATAGATCCCAGTTTTATGCAAATCATCAAAAACTATCCTGAACCATCCAACCCAAGATTCAATCAGCATAAGATTTATGGGAAAATATATCTTATAATAAGCAGCCTTTCAGAGAAAAATTCAAGTAGTGATGTGACAGAACATTAAGTTAAAGTACCTTACCCCATAGTTTCCTACAGGTTCTGCAGACATGATGCCAACATAACACCGCCCAAATATTACCTAAGTCCAGAAATGTTAAACATTCATAAAGGGCAACACTGGTGGGAAAAAAAAATTCACACTCATTTATGCATTGACAATGAGGAAAAACAAAATATCTGCAACATGTGAAAAAGTTAGTTGATGCATTGTTATGTTTCCGGTAAACTTGATTGAGATCAATAGAAAAAAGAAAAAGTCTGTTTCTACAATACATGAGCATTAGTACCTTCAAATCTAGATATAAAATCTTAGTATATGAGCCGTATAACAGTTTAAAAGTCAGTATGGCCACAAACAGGCATGGAGAAATTTATAATAATACCAATTTTCTAAGTAAACAATCAACAATTTGTTTAAGAAATAAATGAAACAGAAATAATCAAGTTTTCAGAAAGGAAGATGAAAAATGTTCCAACTACCTTTTCACCCCCAAATGACCTAATCTTGCCATCAGCTGCGGGGCTGTATACTCTTAGAAATTCAGCTGACAGACTAAACTTGCTACCATTAGCATATTCCAATTCTACCTGAAATGAGAAGTCAAGTAAAGGACAAACAAATAAGTGTCAAACTAAACTTAAAAGGATAATCCACATGGTTCAGGGTTTACACAAGATTTACAAGAAACTACTACTGGATTGTAATGTGTGAAACCTACCACTGAAGTAAATGTGAAACTATATTCCTCCACTCCCCTGCTCAAATAAATTAAATTTCTCAATCCAACGACCTCCCAGGGTTCCTCAATTGACTTTTAAAAAGTTCTAATTTTTAGATTCCATGACAACTTGGTGACTCTATCACTTAGAAAAGAAACAAAGTCCAAATTTATCAAAAACTTGCAAAATCAAAACCATTTCAGACCAAAAATGTATAGTGTCCCTGTCACTGGTAAGTTGATCAGGATAATCTATAAAGCTAACCATGCAACTATAATTTTTGTTCTTGTCAATTAAACCAAATAAAAATCGTCACATTCAGGCTTCGCTCTCAATTTATTTTCAAACAAGCCCAGAGCATTCAACACGTTCGTCTTCTTTAAAGTGTTTCCAAAATTCCCATCTGGGTATTGTCTGTTACTCAATAAACTACGAAATACAAAACGAAACAGAATGGTAACCCTAAAAAAAATAAAATAAAAACATAAAGCGATCATTTTTAACCCACAACTTGAATACTAAAAACATTAGAATGGAGATATAGATTCAGAAAAGTGCTCACGTTTTTTGGTGCATTCAGAGAGAACCGAGTGACACGTGGAGCGTCCACGCTCGTACACATCCTCCGTATCGTTCTCTGTACCGCTAACATATTGCTCTTCTTCTTCTCCAACCTCAATCTTTCTTCTCTTTCTCGCTTTGATCATGTCGTCAATTTTCACTGGGCCTTAAAACCCGAAAAGCCCAAAATCTGGCCCATAATATACGTAATTGGGCCGTAATTCTATATCTTGTTGGGCTTCAATCCTAAATCATGTGGGCTTATAGCTTTATATGAAAAGGCCCACAAATTTTGATGGAGAATTTTCTTTGCCTTTTGAGTGTAATATAAATATACTATACTTCTAAATTAACCATATAAATTCTTATAAACAAATTACCACCTCATAATGTATACTTTAAATTTTTAATTAACCTAATTTTCAGTTTTTTGTTTTACTCATTGACTAGAGATGTGTTTAGTATCTTTGGTCGTTGATGTTTCATGCATAACAACTCGTAATCTGTTATAGTCTTTTAATCGATAATATGTAAAATCTTTCCATCAACCTCAAATTAGACTTTTTTTTTTTAATTAAATTTAATAATGATAATAATAAACATGTCAAAGAGACAACTAGCGATTGTTAAATTTAAGATTGACATCAATATTTTATTTAAAAAGTTTAATGTATATAATAAGTATTTTCTCTGAATTAATCAAACTTTATGTTTGTTGAAATATATATCTTAGATAATTTATTTAATTAAAAACAACTTGCTTTTGTTTTTGGTAAGTATTTTGTACATATCACTTAATTATAATAATTATTTAGCTTAATATAAGGTCATTTATTTAAAGACAACTTGCTTTTATTTTAGCCAACACTTGCTTTAATATAAATATAAAACTAAAGAACATAAACTTATCATTATGTCTATCATCATCTTTTTTAATTTTTAATTAATTAATTAATCTGGTGTATATCAAAGTTGATTAATTAAGTATTATATGATTAAACAACATATATTAAAAAGCTTTGATACAAACAACAGATTAAGAAAAAAAAATTAATTAAACTTAGACCCTATCATTATCTTTGTAATATGTATAATATTAGATTACCATAAAATGATGATGATGCTGGAGACGATCGTAGGCCTGAGAAATAGAGTGATGACATAGCACCCAGATGCTCTAATTAATATTAATTAACAAACCCTAATTAGTGTTGATTGCTATGTGCTTTTGTCTGATAATGCGTCAGAATATGGTTATTTATATGCCGATATTCTTACGTAGTTATTTCGAGAAATTATGGCTCCGTTTGGTTGCCAATTGGGAATACTATTTTTAGTATTCCCAAAAAAGTTAAACAGTAAAATACTTAAAAATTTTGATTTTTGGGAATACTACTCCGAATATTATTCAACTTTTTTTAAATTCCTTAAATTTTATAATTTAATTAAATACCCCTAAATATTTTTTTTAAAATTACAAAAACACCCCAATAATTCATATGTACCAAATTCCGGCCACCACTGCCGAAAAATGGCCGGAATCTGTTAGGATGACGCACTACCGGTTGAATCTGGTCGGTAGTGCGCCGATCTAGCCTTTTCCGGTCAGATCCACGGTGGATCTGGCCAGAAAAGGCCAGATCTAAGGCCAAAGATCTGGCCGTTGACGGCCAGATCTTTGGCCATAACGGTTTATAACGACGGCCAACAAACGGTCGTCGTTGACCATCAACGACGACCGTTTGTTGGTCGTCGTTGACGAGAAAATACGGCCAGATCCACCGTGGATCTAGCCGGTAAAGGCCATATCGGCGCACGACCGGCAAGATCCAGCCGGTCATGCGCCAATACGGTGAACCCAGCCACCCTCCGGCGGTGGTGGCCGGCTGTCTGTATTTGACATTGGGTTGGGGGTGTTTTTGTTAACTTTTAAGATTTTATTATAGGGGGTGTTTTGTAAATAAACAAATATAGGGGGTATTTTATTAATTTATAAATCTTACATCGTAATACCCGCCCAATTCAACTTTTTTTTTAACTTTTTTCAGAAAACTTTTCCCAAAAACACCCAATTGTGAACCAAACGGAGCCTATTTTTTTAGTTTTAGTGTAATTATCTTTTTTTTTTTTTTTTTATATACCGGAGGTATTCATGTCAGTTTACGTATACTTTAACTAATTATCTGAAACCCTAGAATTATCGACCGGATAAAAACTCCAGTGACTACCCCTATTAGCAATCGAGGAATAACTTAAACTCATGACCTCTTGAGTAATACACCCAAAAGTCCCTATTGAACCATTCGATCACCCAGAGGTAATTTTAGTGTAATTATCGTCAACATTGGTTCAAAATTCTGATGATTATAATTGGAAAGAAAGATATTTTGGTAGTGGAAACAACTAATTAAACATTTATCCAGATGATGATAATTGAAATTTCTCTCGTATATTAACATTTACATTATTGCAATTTAAAACAATTTTACATTTTAGAGGTTAATAACTTAATGATACAAAGTTTTAATTAAGATATTATTGTCATTGGAAACATAGTTTATGTTTCACAAAAATATTTCTTATTGGTGTTTTTGATAAATATCTTATTGCTTCTAAACAACCACGGGGAGTATATATATATACTATATATTATGTTTCTGAAATGCTGATTGATAAAGACACAAAAATTAAATAACATAATAGGGTTGTTGTCGATAATAATGCCTTAAAATATAGACAAGTGGTATCATAATTTATGTTGCAATTAATATCTGGGGAAAATATGTTACTAAAAGCCATTACTTTACATTTTGACAAGTGAGAAAATTAATTCTTGATTGTATTGTAGAGTATCTATTCGGAGTTGAGCTAGGTTTATTCGTTAGTTAAGAGGTCTTATCAAACTTACTGTTAATGACTTCATTTCTAGTCAAACATGGTGTTAATGGCTGTCACGTAGCGCAAAGACGGAAGAGGTATGGTTATCGTCAGTTTAGTAAGTGAATGTCAGACTTGTGAGTAGCTAGGAATTGTCCACCTGCCCAAGCTCTACGTGATTCAAGGATGTCTCTCATGCAGACGACCAATAGAAAGCGGGTTAAGAATTGTATTACACCTGTCAGACTGCCGACTCATGATTATTGCCTTGAATCCTACAACTATCAATAGAGGGCTCTTCTCTCATATTACGGGATTGACTCACCTTCAGTCTTAAAAAGCATATACTCTCTCTCTTCTGCTCTCTATATTCTCTCTAGAATATTGTAATTCAGCTCGATACACGCGACTTGATTGTAACCATCCATTAATATAACTGCATTGGATGTAGGATTCGCTTTTGAGCATCCGAACCATTTTAAAAACTGTTTCTTATTTATTTGCTCACTGCATATTTTTAGATCACGTATAATTTCTAAACCCGCTTAACACTTTGTACGTGTAAATCGTTGGTGTCAAAATCAAACATCAACCTAAGGGCATTATGAGCTTTGACCCTTGAAGAAGCAAAATCGATTATAAAAAGTAGAAAAGAAAAAGAGAGATGCAATGTATTGGATTCATAAACTAATGTTGAAAAAATAGAAAACAAAGTCTTAAATTATTTCATGAGTTTTTTCTGAAGTGGGAATTATAAACTATTCAAAGCTTTTTCTAAAACACATTTCTCTATTCTTATTTTCTATAACTTCATTGCTTCTCAATTATGAAATATAGATAAGATTCCCAAGCCCTACCTATTATTTATTAATTCCACCAGAAGCATGCACTAAAAGTAAATAATTAAACAATTCATTTCAGTGCTTAGCACGACCCCAACTCCAATTTTATGTTGCTTGTAACAATAAAAAATTTACTTGTTTTTAGAAAATGATAATTTATTTGGCCTTTTTTGTATGAATATAATCTTATTTAAATCAACAAATTAATAAGGATGCTTAATATTAAGTAAAATATTTTAGGTTAATTAAGGAAGGAGACCAGAAAACTGAAGTAATTAACTTGATGAACATATGAAAAAATGGTAAATATTGTACAGAAAAACATGAAGGTTAATTAATAAAAGCAAAGGTTTCCATGATGGCATGCAGTAACTGTCATCACCATCATCATGTAATTGGCTTTTCTAGCTGAACAGATTTTAATTTATTGCTTGAAATAGGATGACTTCATGATTAGGATACTCATGAAAGAACCTAATTAAGAGACAGAATTGTGGATGTGTTTTTCATCAGGTTAAATAATTTTCCAAGAAGAAAGAGGGTTTCCTTCTAGTTGATTGAAGCAGTCCCATGAGATAATTGAATCCACATTATCCATCCATTGCTGTAAAGCGTCTTCTTGATGCTGTAGAGAAGACGACGCACACAGTGAAGGATTGTTGTTGTTGTTGTTGCTGCTGCTGCTGCTGCTGTTGTAATTATTTGATTCTTCCCAGGAGAAGGAGGATGTACTGCAATTTGAAGTAGTCGAAGTTGTGTTGGTTTCTTGGTTGTTAAACAAAATCGATCCCATCTCCAAATTTCCACACAACATTTCGTAGTTGTTTAAAAGCGAAGCTGTATCATCCATGGTCATTGATTTCACTTCTTCTTGTACTTGTACTTTCTCTGCTGGAACCTCTTCATTTTCTTTCTTGATCAAATCGTCATCAACATTCGACTTTATGTCCCCGCTCTTCGTCTCTTCTTCCTCTGCAGAAATACTGATTATCTCTTCGGTTTTGTCAATGGGCTTGTGAGACACCGGGTCTAAACCAAGGAGCTTCAGCCTCTTCTTAATCCGAGTATTCCAGTGGTTCTTGATTTCATTATCAGTTCGACCAGGAAAATGTGAAGCAATCTTGGACCACCTACAACAGATAATGCATAATTAGAAGACAATTAATTAAGTTTAGTTGAGAGAAATTAAACAAGAAAGAAGAAGAGAATGTTATTAATAATCAGTACCTGTTACCAAGACGAGAATGAAGTTGAATAATCTGGTCCTCCTCATCTTCCGTAAAAGCACCTCTCTTCAGGTCAGGTCTTAAATAATTAATCCATCTTAATCTGCAGCTCTTCCCACATCTTAGCAAACCTTAAATCACCATGCAAAACACCAACATTTTAATTAATAACTTCATTAACAAATTGAAGAATACATACATGATACATATATAAATATATATATATAAATACCTGCAAGCTTGGGAACCATTCTCCAGCAATGAATACCATTACTGAGAATGAAGTTCAAAAGCTTATGATCTTCTTCAATCGTCCATGGACCTCGCTTCAACCCGACCTTATCACAACAAGGTTGCCTTCCCATATTTTTTGATGACAATGGCCAAGAGTCTTTGATCGAAGGAATAGTTGCAAAAATATATAAAAGGAAATGTCTAAAAAGCTACAACTTATAATAGAAGCAAAGATGCTGCCAGTTCATCAACACTTAAAAAAAGTAGAGCCTGTAGTTTAAGAGGGGAGATAAATGATTGAATGGAAAAAAGCAATAAGTGTTGATAACCCTAGAAAAAGCATGGAGGTTAAAGCAATAATAAAATGGCCACCACCCGTATTGAGACAATGGAATGAGTCTCGAAAATGTAAAGGAAAGAAGAACCAGACGACGTGGTTGACAAATTTTTAATCTTGTAACTAAAGTCTTCTCCCATTGGCATTGGCTTTGAACCAACACAAATATTTATTTTATTATAAGATATATAATTAAATAATATGATTCCTTGGCCCCCTTAAAAGGCTGGCCAGTTTTGTCGTTGGATGCAACTCTTGTATACTTTTTAGAGAGATTGAGAGATGCCTTCACCCTTGATGTGAACCACCATGGATTCACTTGATTGGTCAATCAATTCAATTGCTTGTAATTTGTAAATTGTTTTGGTCAATGTTTTTTAGTCTTAATGTAATTGAAAGATCGAGACACAAGTTAAATTGGAATCCAACTAAGTTATTTGGATGTACTTTAGTTTAATTACCTTTTGTCTATTTCAATAATGTTCGATTAGTTCTTGTATCTAATTTAAACTACTTTTGTGGAAATATGTCGACTGCTTATTTTTCTAATCATATATCAAATTGTTAATTAAGTCTTCAAATTATTATGCAGTCTTTGAAAAACCCAGATGCTTTTTTGAAGACACTTTTAACGCTATCTAATTGGGCATTATCAAAGACTCCACCATTTAATGGGTAAATGGGTTAATTTTTTTTTTTTTTTCTTTTTTTGGCTTTGTAATTGACCTAGTAATATGTAATATTGCCGAACCAACACCAAAGTTCTATACTTAAAATGAACTTAGAAACGTAAGACAAAATTTCTTCCTTTGACTGAGCCAAATATATATTGAAAAAAAAAAAAAAAAGGATGAAATTAATGGTTGAAAAAGGAGTAAAAGAAGATTAAGGGTAATATTAGAGGGCAACCATGATATGAACTACCAATGTGCTGATATTGAATAGAAGACAGCCAAGTTCTGCCAAATTAATCACTTAATTTAGATGAAAACTATTAATTTAGCAAAGCCACTGGCTCTTCACCATATGAAAACAAGGTTATCAAGTGGGTAAGTTAATTAAATAAAATGTCGTTAGTTAATTAATCAAGTGGAAAGTCTGAACAAAAATGTGGAGGAAAATGTCCTCTAGGTGTGCAAAAGAATCGGAAATACAATGATAAGATTAGGGTGTTGGTTCATGAACATAAAACAACGAATATTCCAAACTCTTTGAAGATTATTGAACATTTGATCAAATGCATGAACTTACTATTTGAGTTTGAATTGAAAGGGTGCTGGGGGCAACCAAGACAGTACTGGTCTTGTTGCTCTTCTTATAATTAATTATTATCGATCATAGTCAAAGCCAAATATGCCACTTCTTTTGAATTTAAAATAAAAAAAAAGATTTGATTTGACAAGTTTTCGCACGGGCTAGATACCATTGTGTCATTGATGTCGTAGTTTGAGCAATTATAAATCTGGGAAATGAATTTAATTAATTAATTGTGGTGTCACGAAATTATTTGAGCAATCACAAGAGATGACATCAGTTGAGAAAATAAGTGAAGGTTGGTGAGAAATTTTGGCTGGTGTTTAGAAAAACCGCAGCAGCCAATTAAAACTGTTAGAAAAGTGCTTCATGAGAAATTAATTAACTAATTGATAATGATAATGGTGAGTGGGAAACAGACGGGGGAAGAAGACAAGCAAAAGATAAGCTAGAGAAAATCAACGATACTGTTTTGTTGAATATTTATTGACCATTGAGCTTACGAAAATATAAAAACAAAACATGTGTATAGAATTTCAAGTTTAGCTTACCAAACTTATATAATCTTATTTGAAACATTCACGTGATAAAGGAGATAATTTTGATTGGAAAATCTTAACTATCTAGGGATTACACAAATAGATAAGAGTTTTAATAGTCACTTATATTAGTATCTGGGAGATTCGAATTCAAAAATTCGTAAAATCTTATTTTATTTTTTTACCATCAGGTCACACAATAATAATTAACTGAGAAAGTTTTAGTGGCCAACATCATTAATTTGTATGCAAATTAGAAAAAACGCAAATTGAAAATTAATCTAGTTAAGAATTTACATTACCAGACTTGGGTATCGATCCATCAGCACAGCAGGCCCAAACTCTCCAACACTTTCTACTCCAAAAATTCTAGGATTGCCCCGACTACGACGCCATTTTGTGTTGGGACAAGGAATTGAACTCCCTTAGACACTTTCTACCGACGCAATAAAGTTGCAATGAGCAGTAGAGATGAATCAAGTATCAACACCCTGTTTGCACAGCAACAAGGATGCTCATGTGCAGACTCCCCAAAGCATCTGAAAAGATCATATCCAAATAGTTATTCGCTGACCTAACAACAGTCACCCCATTAGATTACCATTTTGTGACACATAAAAACCTAATTAAATACAACCAGTTATTAGGTGTAAATCATTAGGCTGCATTTGATACTCTTTTCTCACCCTATCATATTCTATTATCTTATCCTAAAAAATAAAAAATATGGGGTGCGTTTGGTTTATTATTTTGGATTAAATTTTGGGGATAGTATTAGATAGTTAGATAGGGTTATGATTACGAGAATATGATTTGTAGAATATGTGTTTGGTAGAGTATTTTGACCTTGATATTTGTGTTGAATATTTGATTAATATATTTTTTTATTAATATAATATTTTATTGTGTTTTGTTAAAATAATGTATTATTATATATAAAACTTATCAAGTTACATTTTAATAATACTAAATATTTTATTGATAATTTTGTCACCCGTTTATATTAAAAAGCAAAAACCCATATTAATTTCAAGTACTAATCCAACTGTTTAAAAACATTACATTAATACATATATGACAAAAGTACTAATTATTAACCCTTACAATCATTATTACACGTATACTTCATTAACAACTGCGACATAGTCCACTGTGTTGCCCACAGTGCATTCGTTATGTTATCCCGTACAGTCGTCATGTTGTCTATAATACCTTATTGTGGTTGACTCGGTCCTTCTCCATTTCGCCCATATTCTATCCCGTTTTAGTGATCACAATATACTTGCTCATTACTCGTACTAAGAAGAAATGAAGAAGCGTGAAAGAAGAAATGACGAACCGTGAAAAAGGACTGAAAAAAAAAAACAGGTGAAGGCATGAAAGAAGAAAAGAGAACGCGTTTGCAGAAAAAATTCAAAAAGGTCAAAAAGCTATCAGTAAAATGTCGAAAAAGAGTTTTCAGGATTCTATTATGTAGATAATAAAACAAACACTTTTCCCAAAACTAGACTCAAAATATGGATAAAAATAATTATCCAAACGTAGCCGTGATTGTTTTAATATTCTTTACAATCTAATCATATTATATTCAACTCAAAACATTTAACAATTACTTTTCACAATAAAAGTTCATAAATTAACAAAAATACCCTTACTCACCCAAGCCACTATCACCCACAAGAAGCCACCACCAGTCGCTGGCTTCGGAACGACGCACGACTGGTTAGATTTGACCGGTCGTGCGCTAATCTTTCCTTTTTTGGCCAAATCTACCATGGATCTGGCTAGAAACGGCCAGAGATTTGGCCGTTGACGATCACTAGACTTTGGCCTTTAACGCCAGATCCACGATGGATCTGGCCGAAAAAGGCTAGATCGACGCACAACTAGTCAGATCTAGCCGATCGTGCACCATTCCAACGACTGACGGCCACCATCTGACAGTGGTGGCTAACTGTCGGAAGTCGATTGGATGGGTGAGAGTTTTTTTGTTAATTTATAAACTTTTATTGTTGAGGGGTGTTTAGTAAATTAACAAATATAGAGGGGTTAAAAAGTAATCTAAATATTTTCAAAAAATATTTTTTAATAATGTACGGAACACATTCTCAAAATCATATCCTAAAATGTATTCAGAATAGGATTTTACAAATACTATTAAAAAAAAATGTACAAAAAGCAGCGGAGTAAGGTGAAGCATTTGAGAGGCTAATTTTCTTCCATGTGAATTATTTATTGCACCCAATTGCCTAAAAAAGTAAACTTCCACTAACTAAAGATTAGTGTGCTTAGTTAGTCTTTGCATTAATTTTCATCGCTAAAATTAAATGTGTATTTGTAAGTGCTTTCATCCACAAAAGAAGGATTTTGGAAAATAAACCACTTTTTGGTATAATATTTGATGATATGTTTGAATAAATGTTTTTTATTTGGAAAGAAATTGACTTATAATGATCAATTATTTAAAATACATTTAAACGGTAAAATTAACCATTCAAAGATAGATATAACCTAATGATTTATTTGAGTTCATTATTTAAGGGTTAATAGTACTAAGATCTGTAATAAGTTTTCTAACCTTACTGATTAAATTTATATATTTCAGTTTTTACTCGGTAATTAAAAAGAAAAGACAAATTAATACATTATTAATTACCTTATTTAAACAGATTAGTGAGTGATATATAATCAACTATCAAATGATTGACAAAACTTTCCAACTTGCACTTGAAAATATTATTTGAAAGATTTGCGTTGGGTGAGTTATCACTTTCTAATTTGACATTTTTAGCTTTAATTAAAATAGCAATTCTAATTATTATTATTTAAAAAAAAAAAAAAAATCATATTTTAGTAGTTGTACCTTCTTTGACTTCTCTATACGATGGCCAATGGAATACTATTTTATTTTAAAAGACTAATTCCATCCATATCATTTTTATTCTTAAATATGGTTTGAAGAACACTGAATTTGTTGTTTACAAAATAAAATACGCATGAAAACAGCAGTCTATCATCCTAAGAAAGATGTATGTTAATGTTATTCAATTAAACAAGTAAATTAATTAATAAATTTGATAAAACATTTAGAATGAGATTGAGTTCTAATTATATATGAAATACTAAATCTCCAAATTATGTCATAATTTAGGAAAAAACATTATATTAATTTATAACATTCACCTTCTCTAATTTGTTTTCTATTTACATAAAAATACAATATGTTTGGTAATTAGTTTGGCAATAGTAGGAAAAAAAAAAAAAAAAAAATAACAACAACAACTTAAAATAGAAACCAAAACCCAATGAATCACTCTATTATTGTTAAATGGGAAATTTTCATAAAATACCCCCCAATGTTTACCTATTCATGGCGCTCTTCAGACAAAATTATAAAAGAATAAATGACATGTTTTCACCCAAAGATTAGTGAAATGACAAGATTCCAACTTGGTTTAATTTATTCCAAATTATTACTCTTAAATTAATGAAAATCATTTAATGTAAAGACAAAGGGTAAAGTGATCATCTGCACTTCATTAAATATGGAAAGAAAAGAAAAGAAAAGAAAATTTTCAAAACAACTCTCTACATCTCAAATTTCTCTCACAAGCACCCTTGAGAAATAGCCCAGGAATCCTTACAATTTTGAAATCTATCAATTGCACCCCTACAATAGAAAAACCCAGATCTGCCGCAACATCCAAAACTGTCACAACAACAATCCCTGCAATCTAATCCAAATCTGCCATGGAGAAAGGAAAGAAGAAAGAGAAAGAGAGAGGAGAAGGAGAAAAGAGAAGAGAGAAAGAGGCGGCGGCCAACAAAATAACACAAGAAAACCAACAAACAAACCGCAAATCGTCAACCAACTCCCAAAAAAACCCTAGGGAGAGGGGGCTTCAGTCGGCGTTGAAAGGTGAGCAATCAGGGACGAAAAACAATGGGTTATTAGATAAGGCCATTTGCTGAGTCGAATGGTAGGCTTGGTGAAGATTTTCGGCGATGGGGTTGGCCGGAAAGAAGTTGGTGGAGTGCAACACATGAGGTGAAGGGTGACGGCGAAAAAGGGATTCAAGGTGTTTTAGGGAGAGTGGGCTGGGATGGTGAGGGCAGGGTAGTCGGAAAATGGGGTAGGGGAAATTTCTGTCATTGGGAAAGTCCCCAAAAAAGGGTCTGGGATGACACTGCTAACGTGCGCCGTCACCTGCTAAAATGAAACATGGAAAAAAGGAATGTGTTATTGAAATAAATTTGTAATAAGATGATTATTTTTCTAATTCTACTAATTTAGGGGTTAAAAAGTAATTATTAATTTATTTGTTAAGGGTAGATTGATAATAACACTGTCAGGACACAAAAATCATTAATAATATTAATTTAAGAGTGAGAATATAGAAGGGGTGAAAACTTACCATCTCGCTAATATTTGGGTGGGAACATGTCATTTACTCTTATTAAAATGTACCCATAAACCATAACGTAATACAGTTTTATTAAAATGATGGGTAGTTTAGTCAATTGATAGAAAGTATTTTGTATAAGTAACTAGAGCTAATACTATCATAACCATTATCAATTGACTAAACTATTCCTCATATGTTAAAAGAATTGCACGATATTAAGGTTTGAGAGTATATTTTGGTAATTTAGACAAAAAAATATCACAAGTTTGATGAATAAGCAAAAATCTGTCCTTATGAAATACATCATAAGATTCATAACTATTGGATTTAGATAAATATAATATACTGATCTAGAAAGTAGAAACTTAAACTTAACAAAAGCTAATTAAACTGATAAAGCCTGATTATTCTTTGTAAAGAAGATAAAGGTAGAGAAAGTGATGCTAGAGTCGGACCCACGTTTGAAATAGTGGCCCCAAATCAATTAAATCAGAGAAGATTAAATCCACTCATTCACACCAAACGCCACAGATCTCCTGTGAACCTCCCCATGTTTGCGCCACGTTGATGGCTATATGTAGTACTCAAGGTCAAGGGATCGTTTAGTCATTTACTCACAATTCTATCTTTTTATTATACACTGTTCCTTTTTCTTTATTTAAAAATTGAGAAATGTTGCAGTTATCGAAGGGTGTGTATCGAATCTATACACCAAATGACATGATAAAATCCTAACCGTTGATTCATTATAAATTAATATTAATCAACGATCAGAATTTTGTCATGTCATTCGATGTGTAACTTTCGATAACTTTATCATTTTCCTTAAAAATTTGTCAAGTTTAGGGATATATTGTCCAATTTTATTTTTATTCAATATTAATGATTTTAATTAATTTGCCATTTAATTTTACAGTCCCAAAACACTCTTAAATAAAAATAAAAATTCAATCTATAATTATGATAAATAAAGAATTAAGTGAGAAGTAGATGCAAAGAGGGAAGAAAAAATGAAACTGAAAGTTATAGTAATAATCTTCTCTTAAAAAATTATATACAAATGATGAAATTAAGTTATCTAATAATTTTTTATTATTATTGTTATTTTTTGAAATATTGATCTATAAAAGACCAAATGTTCTACCTTCTAATTTAAATAATTAGTTAAATAAAGTGTTCTATATGAAATAATACTATACCAATAACCTTCTTTTATAATCTTAACGTGAGAATTTGTTATTAGTTAGTTCATAAAGGATCTTATATGGGTTTAACATGGATTCCACTAATTAATTATGAGCTAATCAATTATAAACTGTCACACCAGATTATGAAAGAGTTATACGAGGAAATGTTGTTGATGTAGTACTTGCACCCAATGTTTCTCGTGGTTTAATAAAACAAAATAAAAATACTAAGGCTCCGTTTGGTTCACTTTTTTACACTTTTAGTATTACGATGTAGGATTTGAAAATAAATAAAAATACCCTCTATATTTGTTTATTTACTAAACACCCCATATATTTGTTTATCTACTAAAAACCTCTATAATAAAACATTAAAAAGTAACAAAAACACCCCTAATCCACCCGCCAACACATGGACAGTCGGCCACCACCGCCAGAGGGTGGCCGGAGTCGTCGTATCGGTGCATCACCGGCTGGATCTTGTCGGTCTTGCGCTGATATGGCCTTTTTCGGCCAGATCTATGGTGGATCTAGCCGGTAAATGCTAGATCTACGGTGGATCTGGCCAGTAAAGGCTAGATCTAGCCATCGACGACTGGATCTGGCCATTGACGGCCAGATCTGGCCGTATTTGCTCATCAACGACGGCCAAAGATATAGCTGTCGTTGATGGTCAACGATGACCATGTGTTGGCCGTCGTTGACGACTGACTACGACCAAGGCCAGATCTTTGGCGTTAGATCTGACCTTTGTGGATCTGGTTAAAAAAGGCTAGATCGGCATAGTACTGACCAGATTCAGTCGGTAGTGCACTATTATACCAGATTCTGGCCATTTTCCAGCGGTGGTGGCCGGAATCTGGTAAATATGGTTGTTGGGGTTTTTTTGTAGTTTCTAAAAAAAATTTAGGGATATTTAATTAAATTAACAAATTTAAAGGGTTTAAAAAAAGTTAAATAATATTGAATAATATTGTGAGTTTTTACAATTTTACTGTTTAACTTTATTGGGAATACTACTATTAGTATTCCCAAATGTTAGCCAAACGAAACCTAAAGTTTCAGCTTTTTCGAGATGAAGTGGTAGTATGTCATTGGCGAAGGAGTTGGACAAAAAAAAACCACAGAAACAGAAGATAAAAATCAAATGAGACAAAATAACGACCGCATGTAAAATTGTAAACCGACATGAACGGTCGAAACACCAATGACCAAACCAAAGATATTATTTGAGTTGCGAGCCGTCTCTTTCTCTTTTTCAATCTTGATGTTCCCTCTCTTCCCCTTTCTCTCTCCCACTTTGCTTAGAGGTTTCGAGTACTTAGAAGAAGAAAAAGAAACACAGAACCATCACGACTCCATTAAAAATAAAAATGACAAAAAATTTATATATGATTGAGGACGATGAAGATTTCTCTGAGTCATTCTGTCTAATCTCGTTGCCATTGTAGTTGTTGTTAGCTCTTTCGACAACGACAACAGTAGCACTTTATGGCAGCGATGAAGGTTCGTAGTAGGAGGCGCGACGTCGTTTCATGGAGCAACTTCTTTTGGTGCACTGTCTTCATTGTCACCTCTTTCTTCACTTTCTCTGCAGTTCGCCTCTTCTTCGCAGGTACGCATACTTGCTTATTCTTTTTACTTAAATTTTTTTAATATTATTATTTTTAACTGAAAAATTGTTAAATTCATTATTTCTATTTTATAAAAACAGATAAATATCATCCAGTTCTTGGGTCCACGAGGCAAAATTCGATCTTGGAAGTTATGAAGGACGTAACTCCAGTTTCTCCGGCCGTCTCGATACAAGAAACGGTTATGCTTCCAGATCAGGTACTTGTTTACCTAAAATACCCTCCGTCGGCTCGGTTATTTGCCAAAGAGGACTTCCGCTGCGTTTATTCGTCGACCAACTCATCCTGGCCGAATCTCATCAAGCAACCGCCTATTCAAATAGACGGCGAGGATTTTGAGAACCAGATAGTACGGTGTTCTATCCCCCCGCGTGGCTTTATATTATCCCTTGATTTAAATCCACATGGGATTATCCCAATCGTTCACATTCAATGGTGGGACGCACTTGCTTACGAAGCTTTAATCGACCGTGATAATTCCACGGTTGTTTTTGTTAAGGGACTTAATCTACGGCCAGAAAGAATGTCCAATGCATCAAAATTCGAGTGTGTGTACGGCTGGGATTTTAGTAACACAAAGTTTCTGTTAAGATCAGAACTATTGTCAATCGGCCAGGAGATCGGACGGTGTAAGACACCTTTAAGTGTCTTGAACGGCCCCCAAAGAGGAGATAATTCTGTCAAAGTATCAATTAGGATCAAAGGTAAAGGTATATATCGCACAATAGCCCGCCCGATTCGCCGGTTGGATCGTAACCCGCCCGCCCGAAAGCAGCACCAAATGTGCATATGCACCATGTTGAGAAATCAGGCAAAGTTTATGAAGGAATGGGTGATGTACCACGCAGAAATCGGAGTCCAACGGTGGTTCATTTACGACAACAACAGTGAAGATGAAATTGAGATGGTAATCAAGTCATTATCTGATTCAAACTATAACATTACTAGACACGTTTGGCCATGGATCAAGACACAAGAGGCCGGGTTCGCCCACTGCGCATTACGGGCGCGGGAGTTGTGTGATTGGGTCGGGTTTATCGACGTGGATGAATTCTTTCACTTGCCGTCGGGATTAACGCTATACGACGTCGTGGGAAATTACTCCGCGGATAGTAAAATCGCGGAGCTACGTGTTTCCTGTTATAGTTTCGGACCATCGGGGCTCAAGCACGTGCCGGCTGAGGGAGTGATGGTGGGTTACACGTGCAGAATGGTTGCCTCGGAGAGGCACAAGAGTATAGTTAAACCAGAGGCGTTGAACTCTTCGTTGATCAATGTGGTGCACCATTTTCATCTGAGAAGTGGGTTTGGTTACGTGAATGTGGATAGAGGAACGTTGATAATTAATCACTATAAGTATCAAGTGTGGGAAGTGTTTAAAGAGAAGTTTTACAGGAGAGTGGCGACTTATGTAGTTGATTGGCAGGATACTCATAATGTGGGGTCAAAGGATCGGGCACCGGGGTTGGGGACGAGAGCGGTGGAGCCGGAGGATTGGTCGAGGCGGTTCTGTGAGGTGAATGACAGTGGGCTGAGGGAGCGAGTGTTGGAAAGTTTTGTGAACCCGCAGACACAGCTTTTGCCATGGCAAGAGGAGAAAGGAGAGGAATTAATTAGAATTGTAGTTGACAAGAAAAGGAGGCATGGGATTTTGTCATGACCATACTGTATGAAAATTTTATGATGGGGGGAATACATGTAGAAATACAAGATAGTGTATTTTGATCGTTTTGTAAATATATAAATTTACTAATCAAAAGTTGCAGTGATTATAATATAGAATGATTTTAAGAAATCGTGAATACATCTTTTGTAGCTTTTACTCTTTAGTTTTGTATCGTTTTCCTATCCTAAAATGTTTCAAAATAGGATTTTACAAATACTATAAAAAATGTACAAAACGCAGCAGAGTAAGGTGAAGCATTTGAGAGGCTAATTTTCTTCCATGTGAATTATTGCACCCAATTGCCTAAAAAGTAAACTTCCACTAACTAAAGATTAGTGTGCTTAGTTAGTTTGCATTAATTTCATCGCTAAAATTAAACATGTATTTGTAAGTGCTTTCATCCACAAAAGAAGGATTTTGAAAAATAAACCACTTTTTGGTTAATATTTGATGATACGTTTGAATAAATGATTTTTATTTGGAAAGAAAATTGATATAATCATCAATTATTTAAAATACATTTAAACGGTAAAATTAACCATTCAAAGATAGATATAAACTAAGATTTATTGAGTTCATTATTTAAGGGTTAATAGTAGACCTGGCAAAATGGATCCAAACCCGCGGGTCGACCGTATTCGGATAAAAAATTAGGGTAGGGTCTAATGTATTGGACCGTACTTGGCCTGGCCCGTAATTTAAGGGTGATACGGGTCAACCCGCGGGTACGGTTTATAAAAAAGGGGGGGGGGGGGGATTTGAAAATGAAATCCCTAAATTTCAGAATCACTTCGACAGTTCAAGTAAGTCTCTAACTCTCTCATCATTCTCATCCCATCGTCGCCATCTCTAATCTCCTCTCTCTCAAGTTTCACCATCGCAACTCACTATCGCCTAGTCCTCTTTTCATTGTCGCCATCTCCCTCTCTAACAGTCACCTCACCACTTGCCATCTCCTCTCTCTCACCGTTGCAACTCACGAAAGGGTATGATTGTGACTTGTTTTGTTGGGGTTTTGTAATCTTGTTTTTATTAATCTATAACTGGGGTTTCATGTTTAAGCTGTTGGTATTGGTACGAAACCTTCACAGTTCATTTCCTCTTTCCAGTTCCTTAGGGTTTCAAAATCAAACTCAAAAAGCTTCATCTCTACTGCAATCTCCACCGTCCATCTCTCCTTATCCTTCCTCTCCAACAACAGTTTTTCCTACTCCCTCTCCATCGAGTACGCAATCTTCCTCTCTTCATTTAATTGTTTTAATCTTTCTAGCGTTTCATTTAATGATTTTTTTATTATTATTATTTAACAATCGAGTGAAGTTCAATTTAAATGAAGGTTTTGTAAAGATTACAAAGATTTTGATAGCAGTAAACAGCAAGAAGAGTGAAAGGAGTAATGGAGAGGGTTCGAGGTGAGAAATGGGTCCATGAAGGGTTCTATTTTGTTGATTAAGTTGTTGATTAATCTTGATTGTAATTTTTGTATTTAAATAATTTATGAAAATTCATAAAGCTTATCTTATTGGAGGTTTTTCTCTCTTTTTTTTTTTTTTTTTATTTGTTTAATTGGTTTCCTGATTGGAGCTTGTTGTGACGTGGCACTTGATATTCACACACGTGAAAGTCAACTTTTACCTTGGGTGGTCAATGTTATTTGTTATGACTTAAGGGGTATTTCAGTCTTTCTGGCATCTTCAATAAACCTAATCTGATTTAGGTTTTGCGCAGCTCATTCTCGATCATTCTCCTTGGTTAAAAAGAGAGAGAAAACGGTTGGAATATGTTGTGCTAGAAATCTGAAGAACGTCGATGGAATCAAACGGTGATGGTAGGTCTTAGCTGTCCTATTTGTTTTCCCTTTGTTTGTGTATAAATGGCCTCTAATTTCTGCCTATTTGATCATGTATGAGTGGTGAGAGCATCTGGGTGTACGGGTGTAAATCAGAGGGGTTTTTCTCAGGTTGTACTTGTGTAAAGGGGGTGAGCCTAATCTCTGTAAGGTTCTTCATTTTTCTCATAATGGATCTATTCTTTTGCCCTGAAGAGTTGATGTAGGTAATCTGAAAGATTACCGAACACATATAATTGATGTTCTTTATTTTCTTGCTTTCTGTTTATCTGATTATTGTTGTAAACTTGTGGCTTTGGCTTGGATTCGAATACGTATACTATGTTCTGCTTTTGGTTCCATGTACAAACAAGTGGTATCAGAGCTCTGTTTTCGAGCACCTAGGTCTTATTCTAGGTTGTGACATCCAGTTTACGATTTTGCAAGTAGTCTAGGGTTTGACTATTTTTCAGTTGTCTATTCCTTTAACTTAGGGTTTTCAATTTGTCTTTAAAATTGGGGCTTTATACTCTAAGTATCTAGGAGGGTTTGAAACCTAGAAATGACTAAGTTTGAAGTAGAAAAATTTACAAGGAATAATGATTATGGGTTATGGAAAATGAAGATGAGGGCTGTCTTAGTTAAGGATGGATTGTCGATACCTTAGATGGTGAGGATAGCTTACCAGAGTCTTTGTCCGAGAAGGAGAAGAGAGACTGTTAGATAAAGCTTACAGTACTTTAATTCTGGGTAGAAGATAAAGTCCTAAGAGAGGTTAAGAAGATGAAAACACCAGCAGAAATTTGGGAAAAGTTAGACTCACTATACTTGTCAAAGTCTTCTCCTAATAGGTTAGTTTTAAAACAGAAATTTTTCAATTTTAAAATGGATGAAAACAAAATATTAGGGGACAATATGAATGACTTTATGAAACTTGTACAGGATTAGAAAGTCTGAGTATTAAAGTTGAGGATGAGGATGAGGATCAAGTTGTGATCCTTATCAATTCCTCCTTAAAATTTTCCAAATTTTGTGGATACTCTTAAGTATGGTAGAAAAAACCTTAAACTAGATGAAGTAGTAGTAGCCATTATACTAAGGATGTGCGTTAAAAAGGAGGGTAAGGTTAGATGGAGAAGGTCAAATATCAGAGGTAGATCTGAGAAAAAAAGTGTCAAAGAAAGGTCACTTAGGGGTAGATCTAAGTCTAAATCAAAGTTTGTAAGGAAGTGTTTTCAGTCATAAAGAAGGGCACTTTAAAAGAGATTGTCCAGATAGGAAGAAAAGATCAGGGGAGAAAGAGGCTAGTAGCCGTGTTGATATAGCCAGATGGGTATGAAAGCTCTAATGTCCTAGTAGCTTCTGATAGAGAATCTGAATCTGAGTAGATTTTGGATTCTGGTTGCACTTTCACATGACTCCAAATAGGAGTTCACTGATGAATTTTAAGAAAATAGAATCTAGCAAGGTTATAATGGGGAATAATGCAGTGTGTAGGGTTTAGGCATTGGGGATGTCAGGTAAGTCTTCATGATGGCAGTTCAAGAGTCCTTTTAGAAGTTGGTACGTACTGAGTTGAAAAGGATCTTACTCTTAGGTAGCTTAGACTCAAATGGGTTTAGTCAAGGTCAAGGTGGAGTGCTTAAGGTTACTAAAGGGTCTTTAGTGGTATGAAAGGAGAGAAAAAGAATGGCTTATATGTCTTAAATGGATCCATTGTTGCTGGAACAGCAGCAGTGACCCCACAAAAACCTAACAAGACTTCTATTTGGCACAAAAGGTTGGGACACATTAGTGTGAAAGAGGTCTATAGAGTTAAGTAAGCAGAATGCCTTAGGAGGGGATAAAATTGAGAAGCCAGAGTTCTGTGATCACTGTGTTTATGGAAGGTGAGCATAATCAGGTTTAGTGTGGGAAACCACTGTTCTAAGGTATTTTGGCCTATATTTATTTTGATGTGTGGGGGCAACCAAACATCCACTTTGGGAGGATGTAGGTATTCATTAGCATCATAGATGATTTTCTGGAGGGTATGGATTTATATTTTGAAAACTAAAGGAGAAGCCTTTAGAAGTTCAAGGATTGGAAGATTATGATAGAAAACCAATCTGGGAAGAAAAATCAAGAAACTTAGGATAGATATTGGGTTAGAATTATCAATAAAGAGTTTGATAACTGTGTAGGAAGAGTGGAATTCTGAGACAATAGAAAGTTAGACACACACCCCAGCAGAATGATTTAGCAAAGAGGATGAATAGGATCATTCTGAAAAGGTTAGAAGTTGTTATCTTGTTCCAAATTACCTACCAGGTTTTGGGCAGAGGTTGCTCAAACAACTGTTTACTGATTATATAATCTCTTCCTCAGCTCTAGTTTCCGAACACCCATGGAAAAGTAGTGGGTATCTTGCTGATTATAGCAGCCTTAGGGTTTTGGATGCACTGTTTATGTTCATGAGAAAACTAATAAGCTAAAACCAAGGGCAATAAATGTATTTTCTCAGGGTATCCTGATGGCATAAAGGTTATAGGTGTTGGGATATTGCAGGAAGAAGATGTATAATCAGTAGAGATGTTAGGTTTAATGAGGATGAGGTGATTAGTCTAAATCAAAATGGTTTGAGTGAGTGTGAAAAGGACAATACAATTAGGACAAAAATGATTAACCTAGATTTAGGTGGAGATATCTCAAACCTGGACAGCCTTGGTCCAGACCCTAATATTGATGTTCAAACCCAGGAGGATGAACCTAGCCTAGAGGATAATGGTGATAAATGATAGAGTTGAAAATGAATTGCAAAATTATCAACTAGCTAGAGATAGAGAAAGAAGGGAAATCAGATTACCTAGTAGGTATTCACATGCGATTTGTAGCCTTTGCTCTTTAAGTTGCTGAAGAAATTGATGAGGAACCTAAAACTGTTAAGGAAGCCATGAGGTTAGAGAATTAGGCAGTGGGAAACTGGCTATGCAAGAGAATTTGATTCCTTAATAAAAAACACCTGGATTTGTTGACAAACTTGAAGGCAGTAGGGTGATTTAATGCAAATGAGTTTTAAAAGAAAAGAGGGCATACCAGAGGTAGAAGCACCTAGGTTTAAAGCAAGATTAGTGACAAAAGGGTTTACACAGGTTGAAGGGGTGGACTACAATGAGATTTTCTCACT